TTTCGTAGTTAGTATTGTGGTTTTGGACTGATAGCGACCTAAAAATTGGTAGCTCAGTGGCTATTTTAGGTTAAAATTAAGTCATTCAAGTTTGAAATTGTATCATCGATGGGCCTGTTGTCATCAGTTTCTTGATCTTTGAATTAATAAACAGGCATGGGAAAAGGGAAGTGACTGGCACTGTCCACATTGTGGAATCACGTCTTAGAGGGGTCTTTGGGTCTTTCCTTGGCTTCGACAATGTCAACTCTGATTCTTTAATGCTGTTTAGAAGTACGTATTGATATTGTTAGAGGAGAGGATAAGTAATTGATTTCAGAGAGTTTTGTTCATTCGTTATCCCTTTTTATCGTTGAGTTTATAGAGAAACTTCGATGACTCAATAGGCCTAGCTTTTGAACCTAGTAATGTGGCTCATCAGATATTTTTCATTGCTCTATAAGTCATTAGTGTTGCCGATACTGTTTTCATTGCTCCTGCATGTTGCTGATTTTTCTGTCGGTAGCATGACTCACTAGGGCATTAACCTACCAAAACACTGATTGAACTTTTTAAACATGAGAAACGACATGATTCACTCCAAGCTCCCACCTTCTGTCTGGCTACCATTACGAGTGCTACTGCTGATAATAACGCTAGTATGTCGTGTTTCGATGGCCTAGTGTGCCGAATCCAACACCGCTTTAGGCCTCTACAATCGCTCTGCCGATGCCGCCCTCGTCGTCTTAGCATACGATGCTATCATACGCTTTTTTTCCTGCCGCCATGCATAATGCTGATGGAACTATGAAGTGCATTTGATATGGATCATTCACATACTAAATGGTCATATATCTTGTTGTTTTGATTGCTGGTCTTCGTATAATAGCAATCCATTGTGTTTACCTACCTCACTTTAAATGTTGTTGCATGGACGTATCCTAAGCCAATCAAGCATGCAAGCAACTGTCATTCCTCGATTCATTTTTTTCATGGTTGCACCGGCTCGTCCATGCTTTGGATTCCTGTATATCTGCCTTAACTTTGAGTTCACTTGCGCTTTAATTGAGCCTTTCTGATATCACAGGCACCCGTGGAATTCGTCGAAGAACCGCTATGTGGATGTCACTTGTCTGGAGCACAGTCGGGTGCGGCTGCGCTCTCACCAGCATACTGCAGGTCAACCCGCTTCCCCTGTTCCTACGTCGACGACAGCCGGAGCCTTGGGTGAAAAGGCGATGAAGACCGAAAAGCAGATGCCCATCTACATTCATGCCAATTGGGTGGACAGCTACCGCCAGCGAAATGCCTTCATCTGCACCCAGGGCAAGTCGCACGCATTCAGCAGCAGACTTTATTGAAGTAAAATTCCAACCTCTTGGTCCCCTTCCTTGGTCTACGATGCTGGTTGCACTAGCCTTTTTGACGAACCTGTTTACACTGCCGAGCCATCCGTTCAGCAGATTTAGTCAGGAATCTCTTTTTTACGCAATGCAAGGTTAATTGTATGTTCCTGAATTAAAACCCTGTAAAGATTCATTTGGAGAACATCACACTTGGAGTTATCGTAAAATGTAGGTTCAGTTACATCTTTGAAGAAGATTGTGTTTAGAATGGTTTAGTCATTAGATTTTGCTTCGAATTCAGGTGCGATTGCTATTATTTGCAGTAATAGACCCAATGCGTCGAGTTGTACTTCATATGTTGGTAGTAGCTTATGTCCACTCTCTTTTTTTCATGCCTAACCAACACATAATCGAGATGCTAACCACCTCCAGTCCGTATTCCCATCACATCTATTCGTTTTAAGACCATTTAACTGTCTGTTGAAAAAATCGGCTTAGGCACATGCAGACATCGCGGTTGTAGATGTTATTCTTAAAGTTTTGAATCGGTCAATAATCTACGAAGTGTATTCTACCGTTCCCTTTTACGCTCTGCGCTTGCGAACTTTGATTCATCCGTGGAGACTGATGAATCGGAATACTTCTTTTAAAATCGTTGAGTTTTGAAGAAATATTTACTTCTTGCAAAGTTTTACCTTCACAAACCGCGCTCTTCTTTGGGGTTACTACTTTTTCGAAACGTATTCTTCTAGTCGTAAGTATTACTAGTATTTTCATTTTTATTCGCACCAGCCGTTGGTGCGGTTGGACTGCTTTGGATCTGAGGATAATCCATTCACAACACTAATTTTATTGCTTTCGAAGGGTCTCTTTATTAAATGGGGAAACAGTTATGCTAGTTTTGTCCCTTTGAGGTCTAAATTTGTCTGGCAAAGAGCTCTGCACTTGTTAACTCCAAGCGAGCTTTATTGATATTTGGCGATGTGTGTGAGTGTGTGCGAGGTGTGAGTGCTCTTGTCGGAACTGACACGGACGTACAAAGCGTACCCATTTGAGTATGCATTTGGTATTGATTAATGAGAGAATCCATGACTCTCGCCATTGTCGGGGATGTAGTGGCCATTGCAGTCTACCTCCTTGGTCAAACTTCATTCCACCAGTGTTTGGGTTAAAGGAAGAAGTCTATTTCTTGACGTACTTTCTTAACTAAAATTGTCTTCACGTAACCTAGGTCAGGCTCCTTATTTTTCCGGTGCAGGTCTCCAATGAGAAATTGAAAGAAATCACTGCTTCTCGAAATATTACCTGTTGACTAACACAGAACTAATTTGTGTTGAGCGAGCAGAATGCGTGTGTTCATAAACGATGTGGTAGTGGTCCTGAATGTTGTGGTCTGAGAGTTATTGACTTAATAAAGGTTACAGGTGCTTGTGGTTTGAGGTCATAACATGCAGTAAACCTAACTGTGAGAAGTGGAGGCACGAATGGTGTTATGCTCTTGCATTGTGGAGCAGACCGCTACATTGCAGCAGCAGATCATCGAGATCGGTCATATAGTAGGCGTCCCCTGGACTGCCACTTGCGTGCGATGGTGAGCCGGAGTGATTCACGTTCGTGTCCGCTAAGTGGGCAAGCCTCGCTTCGTTCCCGAATGCATCCACGTTCCCTCAACGCAAATGCCAAATTCATCATGCCTTGCTTGACGTCATGCCATCAGCCACCGTCTCAAACGTGTCGGCGCACTATCCTACGTACTTATAATTTCTCCTTCTATTTTTCGATAGCTATTTAATGACCAGATTTAATGCATTGTATAGGTGAATTTCCTCTGTCTTTCTTTGCTTGAAAAGTAAACGCGTGGTTTGTAAAGTTGCACCATTGAAAACTTTTAAAAATGCAAGTTGTGCGTCATACAGTGATTATAACTGTTACCTATTTCAAATCTACAAATTTGCTTTTACCTATAACATTCACTCGACTTCTCGCTCTAATTAGACAATGGTGTTTCGTCTTTTGGTGGTGGAAGAATCCTATCAATATGTTCTTAATTTACCCGAATCTTAAGGCAACTTCGCCGTACTGTGACGGTGAACGTTTTATTGGAAATTCCTTTTACGTGGCAAAGACCTAGGCGCCGTATAAGCGATTCACCTATCGTTGCGGGCGGTAGCATGCTTGTAGGTGCGTGCCCGTCGTGGTCATTTTTAACTTCGATTATTCACTTACAGGTCCCTTGCAAGAGACGGCCGGCGACTTTTGGTGCATGATATGGAATTACAACGTCCCTGCCATTGTAATGATCACTCGGTAAGCATATGTCAGTTGTATTACGTGTGTAGTGTCATCCCATGCCCGCTTCCGGCATCCCCCTTTCACTAAGTATGAGCATGTTTTTTTGCACGAGAACTAAAAGAATTCGATATCTAAGTAAAAAAGTAACAAGTATGTGCATAGGCGCTACTCTGTACTCCGTAGTTAGACATGAACTTAGTTTTTTGCACTTGCATTCTATGATTCCTCATACACAGCTATGCATGAAGAGGTCGATTTTATAGTGTTGGAAGTGAATGGGCGAAAGCATTCATTACGCCTGTGCAGATTTTCAACCATAAATCTACCTCAGTCACGTTATTGCTGTCTCAGAATCTAACTTTCCGATTACGTTTAGCAAGTTTTTTTCCCAAAGTCGTAACGTTAGGCGACATGAACTCACTTAACAGAAGGGCAGTTTGGTGACAGTATTTGATCAATTATCATGACGCCACAAACTCGTTTGAGCACTCAGACACTTCGACCTCAAGTTTATACATTTCTTGGTCCCTTTACGCTCCTCAAGTTCTAGTAAGAAATTACATTTGCTCCCTGGGAAAAAGGAAGCAGTAAAGTAATAAACGTCCTCCTGTTATGGCATCTACCCTTCTTAGTGTCAAATACACCTCTGACCGGTGTGTAAAGGTTAATTCGTTGCACTACATCCATGTCAATTTCATGATATAGCTAATATCAATAAGTAACCCTTCGGTTATTCGGTATCATCTGGGCATTGTATCCAAATGGAGAATTCGGATAGTGATCAGTTTTCCTCTTGAATAGACTTGATAACAAAGAGCAGTTAGTGTTCGCAAGCCAATAAGGTATCTTGTTCGTAGATGCGTAATCTAGTAGGAGATGCCATTTTGGTTTGTCACTGCGATCTACGTTTTGTCTCCTGTTTGGTCCAATGCCTCGAAGTAGCTGATGAATTCGAGAATTTGTCGGTGTGGATGATATATTTATTTTTCAACGCAAATTCTTCTGTTCAGCGGGACGAGGTTTTTGTTCACTTCGAATCCTTTTAGATACAAAAATCTATAGTTTGTATGACTACTTATTTTGACGCGTTCATGGCTTTTTGCGTCGATTTTAATACCAATTCGCTTGCACGAGGCATATTAACGTGGCTTCACTAGGTTGTGCAGATATTACCTCACATTTCCTCATATCGGTGAAGACAGATGCGAGCATAAATGACTGACTTCCTTTGGCCTATGATTTCTGGCCTTATGCTATCCTTGACAATGCCTATTATCTCATCTTTACTTTGAGGTCTTCTAGAAGCACTGCCTGTTAGGAGTGCTCACGTACTCTTCATCAATCTTGTAGCAGTGCTCATCCGTTTTTTGGCGCATTTTTGCTCTGTCATTTGTCAGCTCGAATGCTATTTACAAATCTAATGATATTGTAGGAAGGTGGCATTTTGGTCAATTACGATGGCCTTTGAAACACGACGCTAAAATCTGCATGGCTATGTATCCAAATGCAAATAAATGCTGGGCTAGCCGTAAAGGTTTTTCTGAAATTCGGATTTCAGGAAATACTGGTGATTCCACTATGACATTCCAACGTGGCACCTTTTTACGTTGCAACACTCGAGCTTTTTAGCAGGACTTTTTCGTTCATGTGCAGGAGTATCTACCATCTATTTTGTTACTACCTTTTCTGTGTATACAATGCATGAGGCACGGCTTCTTCACTTTTGAACGTCTTTAAATTTTAATAGAGATATTAGTGTACGTGGGTTGTGTTTTTAGTTTCTGCTTGTTTCGGGACTGTGAACTTGGCAACTCCATGAAATTAATATGCGAACTTTGACGAGTAGAGGTTGACTAAACGCTGGTCTCGTAGTGGTGCACCTCTAGCGGGCACTTGGTACAGTTTTTCGACTCATCAATCCCTTCAATCCAGGTGGAATTTATAACAGCTTGTGAGATGCCTCAGGATTCGTGTCGCACAAATATCCATGGGGGTGGGCTTTCTCTCGCTATTTGGACAAGACTAAACGTTCACTGCAGGAGCGCTTTTTTACCATCAATGATGAATCATTCCAGCTGTTATGGAGGTCTTGATAAACAAGGCTTCTCAAATCTTGTCATCATTTCGGAAGTGCCTCATTTGCTTGAATCGATGTTCCACCTCCTGCAATATTATGCTGAAATGACCTGACTCCATTTGCTCTTTACTTGTCAGCTCTCGAAGAGCAAATGGTCGAGTATTTGCTCTTGGTGTTCAAAAGGAGGGATGAAATTGTTGCTAAATGCGCAGGAATCAGTTTGTTTTCCGGTAAAGGGAAAAAACATTGAACAACGACCTTGCCATCCATTTTAAGGCTAGTTTTGGTCGCCAATACTGATAAGTTCTAAAATTACAAATAAGCGCGGTTTCGGTGATATTCGTGAATTTTAATAAACTCGCTCTTCTCAAGATTTTCTTGTGTTAGCATTGAAAATTGGATAGCGATTTTACTGATTTTTCAGCCGTCAGCCTGTTGAAGTTTACTTCCTGCTAAAACCACGGTTATTTTGTAGTGTTTTAGTCAGGTTTTACTTGCCATTTTCACCTTTCTTTGCTAAATTCACCTGTCCTTACGCTTAATCACTATGTAGATACAAAAGCGTTTGTTTTTCTGTTTTCTTGTGTAGCGATAGAAGCATATTCTTCCATTAGCTAACACTAACTCACCTTCTTTATTGTGAATACGTGACCAAATAGATGGAAGTCTTGTTTATGAACTTCTCACCTGTTACTGTAATGCCACATCTACACTCATAGTAACAGCAAATTCATATATGTCGTGGACATTTATTTTTTACCTGAGCACTTATTGTCGAAAGCAAACTTCCGTTAGTGTTTAACTTCATGCACACCTTGACATTGCTTTCTCGTAGGTGCTATGAATCCCAGCGTTGCAAATGCTTCCAATATTGGCCCCCTTTGGAGGGTCAGTCCCTACGTTTCACAGCAATATCCTCAAGCTCCAGCACCTTGGTGACGCCTGGAACGGGTTGGGGTGGTAGCCTTAGCGGAACCGTGACTTCAAGCAAAAAGAAGCCCCACTCTGTGCGCCCACGCCGCTCTGCTAGTGAGGTGAGCAACTCCAGCAAATTCGTCTTCGAGGTGATTCACGTCACCTCGCATCCTGGTGTAGACTACACTCGAACGAAACTTCGTCTGAAAGAGGTCAAGGTAAGCTTAAACGCCCACGTACTACTCTGTTGATTCGTCTTTTCATCTCTCAACTATATCTTATAGTCGGGTCAAAGTCGGATTGTTAACCACTACGCCTTTCATTCTTGGCCCGACCACGGGGTTCCATCAGACAGCTCTGCTCTGCTAGAGCTGCTTAACACTGTGCAAGTCGAGTACGCTGCAACTATAAATCGCGAACTGGGCTACATAAATGCTTATGATACCCCCATTCCACCCCCACCAATTGTAGTCCACTGCAGCGCTGGCATCGGGCGAACAGGTGAATACTTTTTTACTTATTGTACTTAAGTAAATATAGTGAAGTACTGTGCTATTTTCACCCTCCAAAAGGTACCTTCATTGCGCTGGACGTGAGCACAAAGCAGTTGATGGAGTTGGGCGTAGTTAATGTACCCCTGACGGTGGCACGCATTAGGTCGCAACGTTCGGGCTGTGTACAGGTCTCGACACAGTATCTCTTCGTGTACCGCGCGCTGATAGATTTCGCTGTGTCACGCGGCCTTGTGGCTGCGGAAACTGCAGGAGCGGCTGTGCGTCTGCTCACGACACCCATACGAACTCCAATGTCCACCCTCCTGCCATTCTCGCCAGCGTCGTCACTTCCCATGGACGCTAGTCTCCTTTCGGTTCTCGCCTCTGGCGTAAATTCAAGCGACACCACCGATCCCGTGCTTTTTAACACTCTGATGCGCTGTCTCCGCAACCAAATGACCACGTGTGTATTGAGTTGGTGTTTCGTGCAATCCGTTTAGTAACCCCGATTTGGTGGTGTTCCATGGTGCGATTTTATTGGATTCGTCTGACGTTAATTACCATCTTAATGGCTTTAGCATGTTTAGGACACTTGGTTTAGGCCTATTTCATTAAACCCGTAGTCAATATGGCTCATGCGCGACCCACTCGCATATCATCTCTGGTGTTGAAGAACGGTGTTTGGTTAATTTAATTTCAAATTCTTCCTTGTCCTTTCCGTTGTCTTTTTTGTCTTACGCATTGTTGGTAGTCTTAAACTACAAGGACTTTGAGTACCTATTCTACACTTTCAATAGCTCTAAATAGTTATTGCTCTAATGTTTATGGAATCTACCGTTTTCCGATTTATTTGGAAGTAAATCGGTGGCTACGATGCTCTGACCACCTTTACATTAAAAGTTGATGTTATATTGAGTCAGATGTTTATGTTTTATGTCATCTACGGCTCAGTGATCATAGTCTGCCCTCTTAATCATAGCATTTGCAATTGAGACTTGAAGTATTGCCTCGTTTGGATACTAGTTGGCTTTAGTTCAGCAGTTACAATTGGTTTTGAATTTAGTGGCGATGTTGAGGATACTAGCAATCGTCGGGTCTCCACGGAACTTGACTACGAGATGGAGGAAATGCAGGCGGCAGCAGATGAAGCGGAGAGCGATGATGAGCCTAGACCAACAGAAATTCTGTCCGAAGGAGAGATAAAGGAAAAGGAACCGGTAGTGATGAGACCAGCTGTTGATGCACCATCGGTCGTGAAAGCAAAGCCAGAGCAACTATCTGATGAGCAGATGACAGCAGCAACAGCAGTGACTCCTGTTGTTTTAGGTCTGGAAGAGTCTGCGGCGTTTTGAAGGCCCTCCCTGTTGACAATGCACGTATTGTTATGTTGGTGTATATAAGTGGAGACGATGTGGATCCCCCACTTCAATTTGCTCCATCCACCTCTGACTCTCTTCCATAAATTACCTTCATCTTGGCTTTTCTCTTTCTTCCGGACGTTGTCAGATTTGGATTTATTAATAGTACTGACTTGTTATGCCACTTGTACCATTAATTTTTTCCTTCAATATGTGGGACTATGAACCTTGATCATGCGAATGGACTCAGATCATCTGCATGCTGATTTGGTGGAGGTGTTCCATGAGGCGCCTGAGGACGATTTGTGGTCGTTATTGGAAGTGATTCTGCACATGTACCAAAATAATATTTACTGCCGAAGGAGGAACAGGGTTGAGTAATCTTGAACAGATTTGGCATTTGTGGGAGGATCCCTCACCTTGGATCCCAAGGCGAGCGTTGCCATTTTGCTAGTCTTGATTTGATATTGAGGAGGTAATAGTGGGGAAGGCTTCAATTTGAAATGAAAGCTGATTAACTTTAAGGATGCATCCAAACTGCTCTGAAATGCCTGTTGAGTGGGTCGTGTTTGCATTCACGTGAGCGGACGTGTAAAAGGACACTTGTCTATGCATTAACTTTTTGCCACGCGCGGCATACGGTACTTGTAGAATAATGCCTCACAATAGGACTCAGACTTCAAAGCGTTTCAGAATGGAAAGAAAATAAACATGCGATTAAACTTCGGCACAATCCGAGGACACTCATATTGACGAAAGTGGAACCTTCTATGTCTTCTTTCTCTTTACAAAGCCTCTTATAAAATTCACATTCATTCTCAATGAGAGAAGTGAACTATCTCAACTTCGAGGTCAGCATCGTAGAGGGGATTATTCTTTCCGGTTCAGGTCACGTAGGCGTAAGCCTACTGCTTTGCCCAAAGTGTAATGTTCAGGTTACCGACATTTTGTCCGAAGAAAATATTGCAACAGCAGATGGGATTACGTTTATTTATCTGTGCCTATCAATTATGAACTTTACGAAAATGGCCTTTTGGTGTCATCGTATTTTTGAATTCACATTTCTGTTTAAAACCTTGCGACGCAATGAGTGATTTATGCCTGTAATAGGTCATCAAATCAGCAGACAAGGTGTGTTAAACAAGCTTTATTTGCTGAGACTACCGTAAGGAAAGGAAATCTTGTTTGCTTTAACGTGTACTTCAAGTGACACACGTGTGCACAGTTGCAAGCGTCTCCCACCATTCCGACTTCCTTCCTGTTGCTGCTAACCGATGACGAAGAAAGAAGACTGAGAGGAGGCGCAGGGGAAGTTTAAGGTGGAGAAATAGGGGAGAGGGGGAATAGATTCTACAAAAAGACTGCAAGGCAATGAGCGAGCATCAGGGCCACACAAAGTCCAGCGACCTTATCTGCCTATAGTGCTCTAGCTATCGTATGCGACTTCAACATCGACGGAACTTCATTTGTTATTGTTTGTCACTTTTATTCGTGTTTTTGAGATTTTCTTCATTATCTCAATTCCGAAATATTACAAACTGTCGAAAGTTTGGGAAGGTGGAGAACTTCGTATCCTGTGCACCCAAGGGTGCACAAAACGCATAAATATTAGGCCAGTTGGCTAAAAGTAACTTTTTACACAAAGAAGTTGAAGGGGCGACGAAATGCATGAATGTGGGGGAGGAGATGGTGAGCAACAAGTACAGAGGTTGATGCTGAAATCGAAGGGGAAACTCTAGGGTTGAAGTGGGGCTCCAATTTATCCTCCATGGAGAAGAAGCGTCAGCCTGCATGCACACACGCCTACGATAAATAGAGACGGTGGTGTGTGTTTATGTGCTCTTCTTTAGCGATCGGAAGAAATTCGAGTGGAGATTGAGGGATGGGATAGAGGTGAGACACTTATTGGTATTTCGCTATCCTAGGTAAATTGAAGTAATATGGCGGACGAGAAAAAGGTGCTGGGTTGAATTCCGATGTACTGCCGTTGACGTTCACGGTTTACTTATACGGGTCGACAACAGTCAGAGGAACTGGAACAAAAAAGGCAGCATCTCATTACTACACTGCTTTTAATGTTAACTAAATGCGCCACCTTATCGCAAAACGCTTCTGGTCAAACGAACGGCACGTATTTCCTTCACCATAAGCACATATTTAATTCAGCATTTCATTTAAAAATGCCTCAAGATATTAAATTTGTACCAACTTGAATTCTATACGGATGTTCAAGGACATTTGTTTGCATTTTTAGTGAAAAAGTGAAATAACGACTAACTTACCATCCGTGAATTTCCGAGCGATAAGTTTTAATACCTCGTCTATGAGTATGACCGGCACAGAAAACTCAAACACCACAAACCACTCTTCCACAGACAGCGGAGTCAATTGGAAAACGTTCTGGAAACAATACAACAAAGGGGCTAGAGAACCAGGTTTTAGAAAATAGGACTTGCCCAAAGTGAGAGGCTTAGAACTGTGCCAATAGGATTACGGCAAAAAGAGTCAAGGCGAGTCACTTAACTTACCGCGAGGAAGTCGACTTCAAGGATGAAGAAATGGAGACCGATGCTCATCATCATGGCGCCCAGGAGCCAGTAGTTGGCCCACGGTGGCATCACCAGAAGCGACTGATTCTCCGACAAACTGCACACAGCAAAAGGCAGGAGGAACTCGATTAATCCGCCTCGTGAAAATTGCAATAAGGCAGGACTGCATACCATGCAACGTGGCGACTCAAACTTCAGCATCATTTAATTATTGTGCCCAATGTGACAAATTTGGAAAAACTAATACATCCCCTACTGTTTTACTCCTATCTCCTTTCACGTGGACGCACATGAAACCAAGAGGAATGTGGCTGTTCAAATCACTGCCATAAACCTTTAGTTGAAGTCCTCAGAGAAATAAACTTGTCTTTCCATGCGTGAAGGCACCGTAACCGAAAGTTAAAACGTGTACTCCCCTTAGCTACAGATAAGTCCGTACATCATCGTCTTTTTTCTAAGCTGAAGAGGCGGAGTCGCTTAAAAGTGTAGAGCATTAAAAATGAATCAATCAAGTGTCGAATTGAGGATGCACACGCAGTTCAACAGCAAAATTGAAAATCCAGATCTATTT